AAGCGTTGGACACACCCGCGCAGGCCTGTGTCCCCTAGGGCCATCCGGCCAGCGTGACCGGCGGAGTCCAGGGGAGGCTTGCAGGGACGGCAGGGCAGGGGAGAGTCACCGCGGGTGGCAGGGCCCCTCAGGGCAAGGCCCAGCCAGGCCCCGGCAGGGTGCGCCGTCCACTCTGCCCAGGGCACGAGGGCACGGAGCCCGGCGGTGAGCGCGAGTGGCGCCGGCCTGAGCCCAGCGCCCCTCTCCGCCCGCCCCCAGGTGGTCAAGTACCCGCTGCACGCCATCATGGAGATCAAGGAGTACCTGATCGACATGGCCTCCCGCGCGGGCATGCACTGGCTGTCCACCATCGTGCCCACGCACCACATCAACGCCCTCATCTTCTTCTTCATCATCAGCAACCTGACCATCGACTTCTTCGCCTTCTTCGTGCCGCTGGTCGTCTTCTACCTGTCCTTCACCTCCATGGTCATCTGCACCCTCAAGGTCTTCCAGGACAGCAAGGCCTGGGAGAGCTTCCGCACCCTCACGGGGCTGCTGCTGCGCTTCGAGCCCAACCTGGACGTGGAGCAGGCCGAGGTGAACTTCGGCTGGAACCACCTGGAGCCCTACGTCCACTTCCTGCTGTCCGTCTTCTTCGTCATCTTCTCCTTCCCCGTGGCCAGCAAGGACTGCGTGCCCTGCTCGGAGCTGGCCGTGGTGTCCGCCTTCTTCACCGCCACCAGCTACATGAGCCTGAGCACCTGCGCCGAGCCCTACACGCGGCGAGCGCTGCTGACCGAGGTGGCCGCCGGCCTGCTGTCGCTGCTGCCCACGCTGCCCGGGGACTGGCCCCGCCTCAAGCTCCTGGGCCAGACCTTCTTCACCGTGCCGGTCGGCCACGCGGTGGTGCTCAACGCCAGCGTGCCCTGCCTGCTGTACGTGTACCTGCTCTACCTCTTCTTCCGCATGGCCCAGCTGCGGCGCTTCCAGGGCACCTACTGCTACCTGGTCCCCTACCTGGTCTGCTTCATGTGGTGCGAGCTCTCCGTGGCCCTGCTGCTCGAGTCCACGGGCCTGGGGCTGGTGCGCGCCTCCATCGGCTACTTCCTCTTCCTGTTCGCGCTGCCCGTGCTGGCGGCCGGCCTGGCGCTCGTGGGCCTGGTGCAGGCTGCCGGCTGGCTCGCGTCGCTGGAGCTCACCAAGATCGCCGTGACCCTGGTGCTGTGCGGCGTGCCCCTGCTGTTCCGCTGGTGGACGCGGGCCAGCTTCTCCCTGCTGGGCCTGGCCCGCTCGCTGTCGCGCAGCTCGCTGGTCAAGCTCATCCTGGTGTGGCTCACGGCCATCGTGCTGTTCTGCTGGGTCTACGTGTACCGCTCGGAGGGCATGAAGGTGTACAACTCCACGCTGACCTGGCCGCAGTACGGCTTCCTGTGCGGGCCGCGGGCCTGGAGGGAGACCAACATGGCCCGCACCCAGATCCTGTGCAGCCACCTGGAGGGCCACCGCGTCACCTGGACCGGCCGCTTCAAGTACGTGCGGGTGACGGAGATCGACAACAGCGCCGAGGCGGCCGTCAACATGCTGCCCTTCTGGGTGGGCGACTGGGTGCGCTGCCTGTACGGCGAGGCCTACCCGGCCTGCAGCCCCGGGCCCGCCTCCACGGCCGAGGAGGAGCTGTGCCGGCTCACGCGGCTGGCCAAGCACCCCTGCCACATCAAGAAGTTCGACCGCTACAAGTTCGAGATCACGGTGGGCATGCCCTTCAGCGGGGCCAACGGCAGCCGCGGCCCCGAGGACGACGACGTCACCAAGGACATCGTGCTGCGCGCCAGCAGCGAGTTCAAGGACGTGCTGCTGCACCTGCGCCAGGGCAGCCTCATCGAGTTCAGCACGGTGCTCGAGGGCCGCCTGGGCAGCAAGTGGCCGGTCTTCGAGCTCAAGGCCATCAGCTGCCTCAACTGCGCGGCGCAGCTCTCGCCGGCGCGGCGCCACGTGAAGATCGAGCGGGACTGGCGCAGCGCCGTGCAGGGCGCCCTCCGCTTCGCCTTCGACTTCTTCTTCTTCCCCTTCCTGTCGGCGGCCTGAGGGGCGGGAGGCCGAGGCCCCGCCCTAGAGGGCCAGCCGGGGGCCGGCCGGCCAGCC